AACTTTGACGACACAGTGTTTAAATATTTAAACAATACGTGGTTTCCGCCCCCTTCAGCGACAATACGAAAATGTGTTGTTTTATCATCACCAACAACACCACCTAGAGACAATCAGTTTATTCTTTTACATGTGCTTACAGTAAATGAGGATTGGAGATTTAAAACTTCAAAATGGACACAAAAAAATGATGTTCCAAGTTTTATGAAGTCATGCGATTAGGAAAAATTTTTATTTGTTATTCACTGATTATTTTCCCCTCTAGTGAGTGGTTAAACACTGCGACCGTATCATTTTATTTCTTTTTATTGAATAGTTTTGCAAGTTGTTCGTCGAGTCAGTGAGTTTGAGAACCAAATGAGTTTGATTTATGACTAATAGAATAATTGGAAAGATCTGACTATTACACGAGGAGTCATTTTATAGTTTCGGAAGACTTGGAATATGTTGTACATGTTGTTGTATTATAATACTTCAGTGATTTTAAGCTCCAGTCCCCATTCATCGTAATGTATTGTTTTGAAAACTGGCCTGTACCAGTTTTACCTTAGTATCATTAAGATACTATTACAGTTTTTTTTTTTTTTTTTTTTTTTTAGATATTTTTTTAAATTTAAATTTTAGTAATTTTGTCGTGTTTTTGTAATTTTAATTAGTTTTAGTAATTTTAGTAGAGTAGTTAAACTAAATGAAAATGATAAATGTTGCAGCTATTTGATATAAAATAAGTTTAACAGGTTTTTCTTTATATTTTAGCTAACATTTATTTTATTTCAAACAAGAAGATGATTTTTATGGTTTTAGTTAACTGTAATAACCCTGGCCGGTGCGTTATTCAGAATATCTCCTTTAATGTTTCACTATAGAAATTAAGTAATACAGGTTTGAAATAACATGAGGGTAAATGAAGACAAAATAAACCTCTCAAAATTACTGTAGTAACCTTCAATCGGAGTTGTTGTGTGTTCTTGATAAGCTACTCATCTATGATAACTGCCAAGCTTGGCAGGGTTTAAACTAATGTTCCTTTGTGCTTGTGTACTAGGGTAACGTGTCAGAGCACAGGTTGACATTTATGATAACAGAGTTTATTTAAGATGTGTGTAGTAACAAATAAAATATGTGTGCCATAATAGAGTGTGGGGTTGATCATGAGAGTGCAGGGATCATGTATTTTTGTAGACCAAAACCTAGAAACAAGTAAGCATTTTAGCACTTCCTGTTCCATCGTCTTGAAGTCAGTGTGTTTTTGGAATGGGTTTTTGGTTAAATGCTTGAAATAAAGTCTGTGGTGTAAGGCTGAACGCTATTAGGAAAAAATAACATTGCGATATTTAGTTTTTCTGTGATATATATTGTGGTGTGAAAACAGTTTCAGCACTTTTCGATTTGAAAAGTGCTAGCTTCGCTGTCTTTGTTTTAAAGGTGTTAAAAAAAAAACACACCTTCGCTTGTATATCTATTTTCGTCTTTCTTTACGATGGTCACAGTTAAGTAAATATCCCACTGTGACACAATGGATCATTTAGTTTGAGCTTTTCTTATTAGACCAAAACACACTTTAGGGTGGATTTAAGTTTCCATACACTTGCGTGTTTTCTCCTCTTCTTATCTCTAGGAAAGCAGCGAAGACTTACATCACTTGGTTGCCCTTCGATTGAAAATTACAACCAAAATATATCAGTATTTTTTTTTTCTGAGTTGTGTTGCGGCAAAAATAGTGCAGTAAGTAGTTCACCAAGTGCAACCATTTGACATCATAGACGCAGAATGCACTGCGCACCTAAAATGGCGCCCCCCATTGTCCAAAATATGTATAAAACGAATGTTAAAATAACGTTAATCTTTCATGGGTTTTCTACTACATATTTCACTAAGAGACATCATTTACATTATATTAAGCCATATGAGTATTAATACCCGGGATTTCCTTTAAGGGCCCGATATACTCGCGTTAGTTTTTTCGTTCTTCGTTTAGGGGTAAAACGAAATCCGAAATGCGTGACCAGGGATACACTGTTACCGAACATCCGACACCGACCACACTGCTGAGAGCGAAGTTTAGATGAATATGTAAATATGTGCCAATGTGTGATGACCAAATCTATGTGGCATGATGTTACTATGGTAGTACCATGGTACTTTTCTTTTTGTTAGAGTACATTCTTGTTGTTTGAGTAAGAATGCGTAATGCACAGTGGTGGTACAGTGAAAGTATTAGATGCAAATGCATTTTGATAAAAAAATCATTGTACTGATGATTAATTATCATTTTTCTATTTACATGGTACACTACAGTTCAAAAGATTGGCGTCAGTAAGTTATTTTCTTTTAAGAAATTAATACTTTTATTCAGCAAGAATGCATTAAATTGATCAAAAGTGAATGTTTATAGTGCGGCAAAAAATCTATTTCAAGTTAATACTGTTAGGGTGAAAATTCAGCTTTGTCTTCATATGAATAAATAACGTTTTAACATGTATATTAAAATAAAAAACTGTTATTTTAAATTGTAGTAATATTTCACAATTATCCTGTTTTTTTTATCAAATAAATGCAGCCTGAGTGAGCAGAAGAGACTCAAAAACATTTTAAAAAAAAAACGTGTTTGAATGGAAGAATTTATTTTTCCATTTATTTATACATTTATTTTTCTTCTTGTTTTTTATACAGTCACATTTATACAGTTCCTATGACTGAGATTTTTTTTTTTAATTCTGTGTATGATGAGGTAGATTGTTAAGCTAAACGAATTCAAACAATTCAAATAAACTTCCAGTAAAAATAGCAGTCCAGATTTATTGCAGAACGGGCTCAGATGCTACAAACGCACATGCAGTGACTGCTAAGAGCAAGATCAGTGTGCAGGGAGCTGTTGTTTACCATTCACAACATGTCAAAACTCAAACCCTCGGGGTAATTCACAACATCACTGTTGAGGAAACGTGTAATGGGCACAAAGATTCATGTCACAGTCAAAGCATTGCTGAAACTAATGCCTGTGTAAACTCAGGAAACAGACATGCATTATTGAACCAGAGCTAAAAAAAATATCAAATGAACAGTAAACGTTTATGTTTAGTGTCTGTTTGTTAAATCAAGCATCGCTTTACTATTGCTCATACTTGGTACTTATTACTTGGTGGAGTGTTGTGCTTAAAAGTTTGAACACGATTCATTGTATCTTCTTTCAGGATCCTGAAATGTTTGAATGAATGAATTTTTGTTGACTCTCTTCAGCTGCGGTGTTGCATAACCACAGATGTCTTTAGCCCACATTTGCTCCACTTACATTCACATTACTGATATGAAGCTCTTATGTGTTCAAAGGTCTCGCAGATACGGCATCTGTAATCTCTCTGTTCTATCACTCCACATCACAGTAAACGTCTAATAACTACCTAGTAAATAATACTAGTACCTACCTAGTATTATTTAGAATTTAGAAATTACATCGATTTTTTTATTTTCTTGATTTCTTACATTTTTGATGTGCTTTTGTCACTTTTATTTTTTAAATATTACTATTTAGGTTTAATTTACTCAGTTTTACTTTTAATTTGTATTTATGTGCAATTAGTCATTTTAGTTCTTCAATGTCAACTCAACAACATAATATCAGTTAGTTGCCAAGGCGACGCTTAATTTTCATTTAAAGTTTTTCATCTTATATTTTATTTAAAGGAGTAGTTCATTTTTAAAAAAACTTTTGCTGATAATTTACTCACCCCCATGTCATCCAAGATGTCCATGTCTTTCTTTCTTCAGTCGAAAAGAAATTAAGGTTTTTGATGAAAACATTCCAGGATTTTTCTCCATATAATGCACTTTACTGGGCACCAAACGGTTCAAGGTCCAAAAGACAGTTTCAGTGCAAACTGTTCAAATGGTTTTAAACGATTCCAGACGATGAATAAGGGTCTTATCAAGCAAAACGATCGCTCATTTAAAAAATAAATAACAAAGTTTAAGTTTTATAAGCTCAAATGCCCGCCTTGCTCTGTTCTGTGTGACTCTCCTGTTCGAACTCGTTCATCAAAATGAACGAATCTTTTTCCGAGTCAATTCGTTCATTTCGTTCGTTAAATGAATCAAATTACTCGAAAAAAGATTCGTTCATTTTGATGAACGAGTTTGAACAGGAGAGTCACACAGAACAGAGCAAGGCGGGCATTTGAGCTTATAAAACTTAAACTCTGTTATTTATTTTTTAAATGAGCGATCGTTTTGCTTGATAAGACCCTTATTCATCGTCTGGAATCGTTTAAAACCATTTGAACAGTTTGCACTGAAACTGTCTTTTGGACCTTGGACAGTTTGGTGCCCAGTAAAGTGCATTATATGGAGAAAAATCCTGGAATGTTTTCATCAAAAACCTTGATTTCTTTTCGACTGAAGAAAGAAAGACATGGACATCTTGGATGACATGGGGGTGAGTAAATTATCAGCAAAAGTTTTTTTAAAAGTGAACTACTCCTTTAAATTAACAAAACAGTTTTAGTTTGTTAACTATAAGAACCTTGTCTTTTACACACATACAAGTGCATTCATACATGTTAGCTTGGATAATTATTGCACTAATAAACAAAATCTTGGTCACTTTTGTTAGTAGACTAGATTTTTTTTTAGAGATTAAAACAAACTTTTTGACCAAACCATTTTGGAATGCAGAAAATGTGTATAATTACATGGTGCTTGACATATTATTAGTGTTGCAGTCTTCTTTATGCTTGTACTTGAAGCTAGTGATTCGAAAAAACAAGTTACGGACATGATCAATATGTCAAAATGTGCATTTTTGATGGGCTGTTACGATTCAAATCGGGAAAGCAATATTTTTTTACACAGCGCTACTAAAACGTTTGATTTCTGCCTGGTGAATAATAAAATGGTGGGGAAATTCCTTGCATTGAAAGAGATATAGAAGCCATTTGTGAAAATGGATTGAGTGACCGCTATCAGTCGTGCTCTGGATTGTAATGTCTGTTTACTTCCTGCAGGGTAATCCGGTTCATGGTTCGTCATGTGAAGTATTTCCTGGGTCTGCGCTATCAGGTCAGCGGTTGGGAGCATCTACAGACAGAAGGACCCTACGTCATCATCTCCAACCACCAATCATCACTCGACGTGCTGGGTGAATTAGCTTCTTTCTACATGCACACCCAGAGGTCACATGATCGTGCTTGTGCAACCAGTCTTTCTGTACTGATTCTCTCCTCATCTCTGCAGGCATGATGGAGATACTGCCGGACCGCTGCACGATGGTAGCCAAGAAGGAGCTGGTGTGGGCCGGGACGGTGGGCATGATTTGCTGGCTGGGAGGAATCGTCTTCATCAACCGCCAAAAGACCAGAGACGCCAAGAATGTCATGAGTGAAGCTGCTAAAACCATGATAGCCGACCAGGTCTGTCTTTACTAAGTCTCCCTGACAATTCATTCAGCTCAAAGCATGTTTATTGATGGTATATGCTCCTATTGAAGTGAAGTTTTCTTTTTGATAAAAAAAAAAACATCACATTTACATGTTGTCATTATCATGTGACCTACCGGCATCAGTTGCGTCGCTTCACTGCCATCCACAAATCCTGTTTTTTTTTTAAATCCATATTGAGAAAATGAATAGGAAAAATACTTTTGTTGATTTCTGAATGCCAAACATTCTAACAACAGCAATGATGTCATTGTAATATTTTGCATACTAAATTGTGGTTTGGTACATCTATTTATCCATCTATATATTGCTAGTCATTTTCAGTGGGTGCTGCAAAGAATCTCATTTTGTGTTTTAAACTTTCTGTAGATCCGATTGTGGGTGTTTCCAGAAGGCACACGGAATCAGAACGGCGGGCTTCTTCCGTTTAAAAAGGGAGCGTTTCATCTGGCCGTTCAAGCACAGGTGAGAGTTACTCCAGAACACCTGTGCTTAAAGACCCCTGAGGTGAAAATCAAGTTTTTAAAGGTTTTCTTTTTGACTCTTTTAGAATCGCCTCTGAGCGCTTCAGAGTAGGCTTGGGCGGTAATACGGTAATATCGTATACCGCGGGATCTAAAAATAGCAACGGTATCAGTTTCAATATCGTCATACCGTCATAAAAAAAATCCAATGCACTTATATAGAAGACAAGGATTAAATATTAAATATAATTTATTTAATGGCTAAAAATGCTTATGTGTGGTTGTCATCACGTGACAGTGTGGAGGAGAAAGAGTGGGGGAGAGAGGGGGAAAGATGGCAAGTTGCGCACCGAGTGACCTGGTCTCGAAGAAGAACACGACTTCTGCAGTTTGGCAGGGATGGGCATTTCAAGCAAAAATAATATTTGAAGATCGCCTGGTATTATTTGATTATTATTCGAAAATCGCACCCCTCCACCATATGCACACACACATGCATGTAGGCTACACAGCTATACAGCGGAGCGGTGTGACACTTAAATAGGCTATAAGTAAAAAAAAAAACGTATTTCTTTTCATATTTATGTTTAATAATATAATGTTGTTATTTTTTTATTTCATCTATGTTGATTATATGAAAAGGAAACTGCATGAGATGAATAAGATAGGATGATAAGATGCCCAATATCGGAAAACATTTGGAATGGGTCAGACATGATTTTTGACCACTTATTACATTTTGTTTTCAATTCAATTCAATTCAAATTTATTTGTATAGCGCTTTTCACAATACATATTGTTTCAAAGCAGCTTTACAGAAAGTGCATTTCAGAAATGTACATAGAAGAATATAGTTAGTTAATCATCATGTATTAATTTAGGGCATAACATTTCGCCGGCGTCGAGTCGTCTCATCGCAGGTGTTGGGGCATCTGAAGTCTCCGTGAGAGGCTTTCGTTTTGTAGAAAGCCTTTCTTTAAAGTGAATTTCGTTTTGTATAAATTGTATCTTAATTTTAATCAATGTTTCATCAACGAATTGCCTGGAGTAATAAATAAAAGCATATATATTAGACAATATAAGCCGGACACGGAGGCACCGGCGCGTGAACTGGAGCGCGTCTCCTAAAAAAACGAAACTCAGCGTAGGCTATAAGATAGATGCCTTAAATATCTGAGAAGTGTATATATATAGTAAGCTTGAAATGTCTACTTTTAAACAAAACAATTAAAAACTAAAATAAATGGGCTGCTCTCTGTGTAGGCTAATTCATATGAAGTGTGCATTTCTCTCTATGCGTGTTCACTACTGCGAAGATGCGAGTCTTCATCGTAAACTTTATCTGTGCAGCCACTGACATAGAAAGTTTTTCATTAATAAACAATTCAAATGTTTCATGCATTATAATTACTTTTGCCGGTTCTTTGTGGCAAGCTTTATGCGTGCTTTGAGATGCAGAATAGGCAATATATTACGAAAACGCTCATTATGGTTTAGCATTCTCTCCTATATATATTTAAGTAATTTAATCAATATAAATATGTGATTAGACTAATGGCTTAAATCAACTACTACTAGTCAACTAGAAAAAAAACCTTTAGTCGTGCACGGGCAGCCCTACTTCACATGTTTTCTAACCAGCATGTCACTGCGGGCGTTCTGAGCGCGCAACGCTGAGTGGACTGAGCACGCGGCGCGGGATCTTCAGAAATGCGCTCTCTGCTCTGGAGGAAATATTACCACTCCGCTCGCATGCTCTGGTGTGAGACAATGTGCATCTTCTCCTGTTGTCTGAGAGTTGATTGACAGCTTTTAGATGCATTATTGGCATCGCCACCCTCTGGTTGAACGTGTCACCACCGCATCAGAACGGAAAACATGGGGATTTTTTTTAGACAATAATCCCACAACCTATTCCATATTCTATAATAAAATCAAATATTCGAAAATTGTGACTCATCCCTGCTCAAACCAACAGTTTGGTGATGCCTTCTGAGCCTTATGTCATAATTTTGAATTATCACGCGGTAATACCGTATACCGCGGTAAAATAGGGAGGAGGTTTGACGGTATCAAAATTTGGATACCGCCCAAGCCTACTTCAGAGTGGCTGTCTATGGGCATGCTCAAACATGTCCTTAAAACAACCCTTAACGTTCGTTTTCAAAACTGTGCAACTCACCGAGTGGTTAGTGGTAGTGTTGTCAAAAATATCGATATTTCGATAAATATCGATACTGAAATATCTGAACGGTACCAATACTAATTTCCCGAAGTATCGATACTCAGGCGCGTTGACAAACACCACACGTGACGCACTCGTCTCATTCGCTCTGGTTAAATAGCAAAAGTGAAGTGAATGGAAAGATGGCGAGGGCCGCGCCCCCGCGACCGGCTTTGGTTGATTGATAAAGAACACCGCGAGCGGGCATGTCGGAGAATAGCGCGGACACGCGTAAAAAACACACCGCGAGCGGGCATGTCGGAGAATAGCGCGGACACGCGTAAAAAACACACCGCGAGCGAGCATGTCGGAGTCGGAGAATAGCGCGGACACGCGCTACACACCGCGAGCGGGCATGTCGGAGAATAGTGCGGACGCGAGCGGGCATGTCGGAGAATAGCGCGGACACGCGCTACACACCGCGAACGGGCATGTCGGAGAATAGTTCGGACACGAGCTACACACCGCGAGCGGGCATGTCGGAGAATAGCGCGGACACGCGCTACACACCGCGAACGGGCATGTCGGAGAATAGTTCGGACACGAGCTACACACCGCGAACGGGCATGTCGGAGAATAGCGCGGACACGAGCTACACACCGCGAGCGGGCATGTCCGGAGAATAGTTCGGACACGCGAGCGGGCTGCGGGCACCCAACAGATTGTTTGACTATCAATAATCCCTCACATCACTCATTTTTTTTAATTATTGTATAGGTGAAAACAGACTTAAGGAACAGGCTCCAGGGGTAGGCTACTATTTAGCAGCATTTGCTCAGCATCAGGGGTGTTTGTTGTTTGGACAGGCCTGCCCCCACTGCTAAAAAAAGTCCTCAAGGAAACACTGTAACTCTTCTCATTTGAACTTTTCTGAAACATTAACCAAGATGGCCTAGTATTGTTGTTGATTAGAGTCTGTATTGTCTCGTTTTAATTCTTAAAGTTAACATAATCTGACTGAGGAATCTTAGACAAGAAAATATTGTAACTGTGGTCAAATTTAAATTAACTGGTGCCTATTTAACTTTATTCAAAAATTATTATTTAATTCTGCAATTTTCCTTCATTAGCGATTATCATCAATTTGATTACACAGATATTAATTAAACTAAACAGCTAGACAATGGCATCTCTGAATTCAATAATGACATGCCTTTAACTGAAAATTGAATGTTTAATCTTATTATTATACATTACTGACTCTCTATCCTCCAATTTGATACTGTTAAGTGCTTTTTTGTTACAGTATATTTTAATCTTTGATAACAGTAGGTAATAAAAATACATCATGTTAGCTCTGGTCCAATTAAAAAATATAAACAAATAGAACTCAGGACATTTTTGTTCGTGTAAAATATACCTCATTGTCATGTTCTAGACTTGTTATATTTAGCTTTAAATTAAAAAAATACCCCTTAATATTGTGGCAGCTTTTTCTCCGTGGTATCGAAAATGGTATCGAATATCAATATTTTTCAAGGTATCGTATCGAAGTTAGAAATTCTAGTATCGTGACAACACTAGTTAGTGGTGTTCGTTGATGATCCAAAACAAGTAGCGTAGCGAAATACAGTTTCTGTCGTGTTTTATTTGCCACTGCTCCTGCTGGAGGGCTCAGTGCTCGTTGATACTGCGCTACCGGAAACGGAAAGGGGTCTATTTACATTTGGTTGTAGTCTTTTCGCTCGGTTCTCCGTCACTCAGAAGGCTAGCGTGAGCTGAGCAACTGCGGCAAAGTGGTTGTCGCCATCAAGTAGTGTGCTAACGCTTCAGACTCAAATATCGAGCGGAAGTTTATACGCGGTTGTGAGGTATCTGAAAAAATAGTTCCACTATAGCAAATAACACGGATTGAAAGCATACATTGCGCCGATATATTTGTTTTTAATCATCAACAAACACCACTAACCACTCGGTGAGTTGCACAGCTTTGAAAACGAACGTTAAGGGTTGTTTTAAGGACATGTTTGAGCATGCCCATAGACAGCCACTCTGAAGCGCTCAGAGGCGATTCTAAAAGAGTCAAAAAGTCGAGACAGGACCCATCGTCAACATTTCTAAGTCCACCACTCTAGTTCATCCAAAACAAACTAGAAAATAGACTCAAAGTGTTAAATACCGGAATTATCCTTTAATGTTGTTTATATGTCTGTTTGGTGTTTTAAAATATACTTTAAGACAAACCATGTGCAATTTCACCAGTCAACACCATTGCAAGTATTTTCTCCTTAAAACTGCAGTGAACCAAATAGGGCTGGACCCGAATATTCGAAAATTCGAATATTCGTTCGGTGGGTTGGTATTCGATTTGAAAATGTAACATTCGAATATTCGTTTTTTTTTTTTTTTTTGCACACCTGGCATCCCCCTCGAAACGGTTCTCATTCACGCTTGAATATCTTTTACACTATAAAATCTGGTGAAATATAATACTTAACATATAACTTCGTTATAGCTACTTAATAAATATATTTGCTTCTTCTTGGACTACTAAAAGTGTTCCTGCCACGGGAGTATTCTCTGGCTAGAGCGCAGAACAGCGGAGTTTGTATCATGGACAGAAGTGCATGCCTGAGCTTGTGTTTTGGGTTAAGCTGCGTTGCTTTGATATTGTGGAAAATAGAATAATAGAAACAAAATGTATTATCCTTTTTACCCGTTATTATCAATCTAAATTAATCTACTGCGAAATATAAATTGAAATTTGTGATGTTGTTATTGAAATTGTTATTGTTATTGCTACCGTGTTCTTTATAGGCTATTACAGTTCGTTTATTTAAATTTCGTTTTTCTATATTTAAATTTCGTTTTTATTTATTTAAATTTCGTTTTTATTTATTTAAATCTACCCTACTTTGTGCAGCGTGCAGTGTCCGTTCTCGGAGCCTGCTCGGTGAGGCGCGCCGCTTCTTTAGGCTATTTAAATCTACCCTACTTTGTCAGTTATTTGTTATTGAGAAAAATATTAGACTACCTTTAAAAAATATTGCTTGTGTGTTTTATATCACTAGTGCGTGCAGTGTCCGTTCTCGGAGCATATAAGCCCTGCTCGCGTGAGGCGCGCCGCTTCTTTATTTAAATCTACCCTACTTTGTCAGTAATTTGTTAGTGAGAAAAGCAATATTTTTAATAAGGTAGTCTAATATTTTTCTCACTAACAAATTACTGACAAAGTTGGTTAGATTTAAATAAATAAGCGGTAGGGTAGATTTAAATAAAGAAGCGGCGCGCCTCACGCGAGCAGGGCTTATATGCTCCGAGAACGGACACTGCACGCACTAGTGATATAAAACACACAGGGCTGTTAACTTAAGCAATATTTTTAATAAGGTAGTCTAATATTTAAGTTAACAGACCTGTGTGTGTGTGTGTGTGTGTGTGTGTGTGTGTGTGTGTGTGTGTGTGTGTGTGTGTGTGTGTGTGTTTTATATCACTAATGCAGTGTCCGTTCTTGGCATATAAGCTCTGCTCGCGTGAGGCGCGCGCGCTTCCCGCTTGCGCTGTTCTGTAGTTTAATAAAAGTTCATTAATTCTGAACGTGTCGCGTCTCGCCTGTCTATCTATATTGCACCAAATACGGCACTGCACTCCTTGTGAAGTCGTTTGGATGAACGGTTCTCGAAATAATCAAAATGCAAAAGGACAGACAGACATATAGAGATTCCGAAGCTTCGAATATTCGATGTTCATTACTACCGAGGCTTCGAAGCTCAAAAAATGGTATTCGGACCAGCCCTAGAACCAAAAGACAGTCTCAAAAACACGGTTTGAAACGTCCCCGTTTCCTGCAGTTACAAACATGTAACCGATCCCGTCAACGTGAGGGGCGGGGCTTTTCTCCACGGACATTCGATGATGTTCAAAGTGTTTCTAAGGATGCTGATTTTTAGAAGGCAGCGATCTGACTCTGAGATGGTGAACAGCAACATGCTTTGTGCAACACACTATTAGACGTTTGATAACATAGACAAGGCAAAGGCTAATCATATGAATTAGCGTTATGTGTCTGACGTTGTAAGTAAAGCGCATTCCCATTCTAATACATGGACTTGTAGACGAGCCTGTATAATTCACTCTTCCTCTTCTTCTGAATCAGTTTCTGGTTCAAACATATATGGCTGAATTAAACCAGTATTTCCACTTGCCATTGTTTAACGTTTATCACAGTGGATCTGGTATTCTGAGCTGGTGTGAGTGTGTGGAGGCGGGGCTAATTTGCATATTACTTTTTCCGCTTATACTAAATGAGGCAAGGGTGTAGAGTAGTTGTTTTCACAGGAAAATACTTTTAAATATGTAACTTTGATTATCAAAGATAAGTTTTAAGGAATACAACTTGACTTGATCTAACCTGACGTGTAGGTGCAAAGTACAAAGCTTAAGTAATTTACCCGGCACAACCTGAACCAGCTTGAGCTCAAAGGTCCCTCATCAACACATGACACCTGTGTCACGGCACGGGTTAGAGGTCGTACAGGAGACTGGCTTTACCCTTGTAGTGTTGTGTGTTATCTTCACCAACAGAGGGAGCCGTTGTTTCTTATATCCGCTCCTGTTCTAGTGCAGCCACATGGAAACTGTAACTCTTATGCAATTCATCTGCACAAACTCATTTCCAAAGCCACATGAAACATTCCTTCAGCATTTCTTCCTTTGTTGAGGCTTGTGAAAAAAGTTGAAGCCTATTGGATTATATTTGTATTGGACTAATGAAACGCATGGCGGTTTGGTCACTTAAACTACTTCCTGTTTCACTTAATAGGCTTTATTTTGTATGGGGAAAGTGTGTGTGTGTGTGTGTGTGTTCTGTATATTAATTAATAATTAAGATTTTTTATGTTTTTGGAAAATGTCTCTTAACTTGCTAGTTAGCTATGCAGTGCTAAACAGAGGCAATTGCCAGTTATCTTATTTGTTAACAATGAATCTGTTATTTGTACAAAGTTTTTTATTTGAGTTACTACTTTATAGACCCCATTAAAAAGGTTTTAAAGCAAGTTTTCTTCCTATTTTTTTCTTTCGAAACCGGAAGAAGTTAGGCTAGTCATGTTAACAAAACTTTTGACTTTTTTTGTTTGTAATGGCTAAACTACAATCTAGAGAGCATTTGATTGAACCACATTTTTTACATGCCTCTAAACACAAGATATAATCAATATTTTTGGTTATTTTCTCAGAAGTGGAAGACTGTACATTTTAAATTCATACTGGATATCTGCTAACATGCTATTTTGTCCATTTGTAGGAGTGACCTAGCATATTAGGCTCAATGCTAACAAAGCCTTAAGGCTAATAATAAAACTACATTTGTATGGTCACAATAAAATATTATGTTGAGACAAACCTATCAATAGCGGAATATTTGAGACTGACTTTGGGCTGGAAAGGGTTTATGTCCGCACTTTCCCCTCAGAGTTGTTGTTGGTGTAAAGAGGTTTTGGAATGAGCAGGTGGAATGAATTAGAAACGTGAAATTATTTTAAACGCAACAAGTTCATGTGAGGTAACATTAATTGTGCAAGTAAAATAATATTTAAGAAAGTGTGTATGTATATGTGGCTGTGAGTCTGTAGTTGTAATTAATAGTCATTTTACTTTATTCTGAACTTAGTCACTACATGTGTGTGTACATTTGTGTGATGATGCATACTGATATCAAAATGGCAGGCTGACATAATCAAAACCAGATGAGTGTGTGAGTCAAGGCAGACAGACATCACTTAATCTAGACCAGAGTAATGGAGCCCTGATGGTTCTCATTAGTTGAGGCAAAATATGTGAACAGTCTATGCTTTTCTTCTCTTTATCTGTGTTTAACATCTTGGCGTTATGCAGCGACACCACGTGTGACCTGACGGAGTTGTATACCTGGTCTAGACTAAGACTTTGAGATGTTTAGTAGACATGGTTTAATTTGGGGTTTCAGCAAAATATTGACATAAATATGTGAAATACATACCTTTTAAAAATGCTATTAAATGTTTCATTTATAATTTTATTGTTATTTGACAAAATGTTTATACATGGAGTAAAACATTTTAAATATTTATTTGCCAATGTGTTTCTTTTATATTTATTTAGAATTTTGTTTTATCAATTAGTTGATTCATATTATTTTATTTATTTAGTTTATGTGTATATTTGTAAAATATTTTTAACCTCTCAAAAAAATTATTATAATTTTGTTACATTTAGCTACATTTTAAACATGTATTTTAAAATTTATATGTATTTTTCTTTCATATTATACATATTCTTTTATATATATATAAAACTTTAATATAACAAATATTTAAGTAACACATGAACATTTTAATATGTATTTGTCATTTTATATTTATTTATATTTTTTAAATATAAATTAGTAGTTCATTATTTTACTATCAGACACCCGTTTACACACACTGTCCAGCTGTAGTCCTTCTCTGCGTCTATTATCAGTCTAGGAGGATAGTTGAGTCTGTGTCTGATCATGTTTTTGTGTTGTGAGAGCGTTTCTAATCCCTGCTGATTTACTGCCTACTGCACATCGACCAACCCCTCTCTCTCTCTCTCTCTCTCTCTCTCTCTCTCTCTCTCTCTCTCTCTCTCTCTCTCTCTCTCTCTCTCTCTCTCTCTCTCTCTCTCTCTCTCTCTCTCTCTCTCTCTCCTCTCTCTCTCTCTCTCTCTCTCTCTCTCTCTCTCTCTCTCTCTCTCTCTCTCTCCTCTCTCTCTCTCTCTCTCTCTCTCTCAGGCTCCCATCATACCATCGTGTTCTCGTCCTACAGTAACTTCTACCTACGAAAACAGAAGAGTTCAAATCAGGTAATGTATGTTACAGAGAAAGAGTGTTCCTGCGCAATATGGAAAAGTATGTAATGTGATATGTCATTTCCAGTTCTGGATAAGTATTTGAAATGATTTGTGTTTCCAGACTATTGCCCCTATTCTGATTTATAAACTCAAAAAATGCGAATTCTAAAAACAAATGTATTGTACAAGCAGAGTGTTTTTCGTGGCAGTTTAGTGGTCGTTTAACACGACTGAATGAATTCAAGATGCTATATCTTCATTAAACATGATTACTCTGGCATATCCTGCAATTATTTTGAATATAATATTTTCTGAATTAATGTATTTAGAATGAATAATATTATTTTAAAACTAATGATTAAATTTAACGTGTTATTAAATGTTTTTATAATGTATGCAGTCATTGAAAATAATGAATATTATGAATATGTGAATATTATCAATATTATATTGTTATTATTTTGACAATATTATTTTATAACTTATATGAATTTACAATATTAAATTTGAAATAAATTAAGCGAATCCTGTATTTTAGCATTGCAGTTTTAATAAAGGCTGCGCATTGGTTTAGTGTGATATTCTGACAGTTATCTGGAACAATATTCCACCAATTATTTGGCAACGTAATCGAATACATATTCCGAATGTAACATACATGTTAACAGTTGGATTTTAAAACCATTTATCAGATGTTAAATATAGTGAAAAAATTGAGTCGAAAAAGTATGGATTTTGAAATGAAAAAACCCTGGGAAACAGTAAGCCTTTTTTTTTTTTTTAAATTAAAGAAATAGTTCACTAAAAAATAATTTACTCATCTTCCTGTCGTTCTAAACCCGTATGCTCATGAAAAAGCATAAAAATAGTAGTCATATGACTGGTGCACTTTATTCCACGTCCTCTGAAAGGTAAAATATCAATTGTTGTTGTTATTATTTAGTGAATTATTCTTTTAAGAGCTAGTCCTTGAAATGCGTTGTGGGACGTGTTTATGAGTGATGATAATGATGGCGATTTATGGCTGACATTTAGAATGACTTAATTTAGGGTTTCAGCAAATTATTTCTAAAATATTTATTTAATATGTGAAATATAGAAATATATGCCAAATATTTGTAACCTTTCAAAATGCATTTTTTAGCCATTGCTGATATGGCGTTAAATCATTCATGTATTTATTTAACTATATTTCTAAAACATGAATTAAACCATTTTATATATGTATTGGTTTATTTGAAATTTTAAAATAAATAGTAGTTGATTATTTCATATTATTATTATTATTATTTTTTATATATATATATATATACTGTATATATATATATATATATATATATATATATATATAAAAAGATAAAAGAAATATATATGTGTGTGTGTGTGTATGTATATATATATATATATATATAATATATATATATATATATATATAAATTAAATAATCAATAAAAGTGTAAATATTTTGCATATATTTCACATTAAATATTTTACAAATATTTAGCTGAAACTCCAAATTAAGCCATTTCTAAATGTTCATTACAGCCATATTCACCGCCATTTCTACATATTAAAACATTTTGGCAATTAATGACTAATGAACATTTCCACATTGTTTCTAACAGGAACCATCACTCTGAAAATCCTTCCAAAGATCGAGACAAAGGGACTGACGGCAGATGATGTCACGGCTCTCTCCGACCAATCATTCGGCGTCATGCATTCGGCCTTCCTGGAGATTTCCAGCCAAGCCCCCCAGTGCAACGGGGCCGTCCAGCCACTGAGCGCTGCCGGCGCGCCCTATCTTTCGCTCCGACAACAAGGATGGCTCGAGACTACGCCGTTGCCGTGGTGACGGTAACCGCGACAACCAGGCGCTTTAGTATCCTCTCCGACGGCCCCGTG